GTCATCTTTATCTAGTGTACCAATCCCAATAACACCACTTAAACTTCTTTCAGATATGCCTAAACAATGGACTAAACCTATAGCACGGTAAAATAAATATAGTTTATTTTTATTTTCAATTTACGGATTTTGTGCTTTAGACCAACACCAAAGATTCCAAATGAATTTCTTGATAATGTTCGAGTATTTCAAGGTCTTGCATGTGTAAAAAATCCTTCAACACGTCGTGCGAATCAATGGCCATATCCACCGGATTCTGATACATTAGCACCACGTGAACAAATGAAGTTTTTACCTGATGAAGACGATGAACCTCTTAATACGAATGAAAAAAATACTTCAGATAGTACATCAAATGACATTGAAACAACAAATCTCAATTTTGATAATCTTTCACTTGGTCAACAAGCACTAGATACAACAGTTGCAACATCAGCAACATAAAACTTAAATATCGATGACTTTTTTTATACATATTTTTTTCTTGTTCATTCATTCCATATGTTGTCGTTCATTCTTATTATATATATATATATAAAATAAAAAAGTATTATTTGCATTGCTTCTATCGTTGTATTTAATATATATTTAGCGATTAATTACGATTTGAAACTTTTCTTTGATAAGATAGAAATTAATGATTTTATCCGTTGATAATTTCATTTATATATCTTCAAGAAATAAATCACATTCTTGTTTTTTCATTTGTTATTAAACAGAACTAATTCATGACACTTTATATCAATTTTATAAGTAAACCTAATTTAGGAGATGTAAGGACAATGTAAAGTCATCTCTTGTTTTATACATTATCGATGAAATGCATTTAAGGTAACCTCCCATGTACTCATAATCGACGATAATCGCCCAATTAATCATCGATGAATCGTGATTACCTACTCGTTTTTTATAATAAATCATGGTTATCATAGCCCATTATTTCAATCGTTTTCTGAATTGTACAAAAACTTATTCGATGTTTTTGTGGAGGAAAATTCTAGTATCATTACTATCCGACACAAATCTACAGTCGCTTCTTACAAAATAGAAAAAGAACTATGTTCAGATTTAAAACCCTTGAACAGATTTTAGTTAAAATTACGAATTTCAGACTTAGTGAGTTCTATACATGTATAAATCAAACTGTAGATTTCTACTATTTTGAATAGGACTTAAAAACTTGGTATGTATATCGTTTATTATATAAAGCCATCTACAAAAAAAAGAGGTCGCTGAATGGTTTCTTCACATCACTGGTTATTATTAATGTACAAAGATTTATTTATCAACTAGGTCGTTTTATTTTCATTCGATTCAACCTTCTTAACCATGGTTTGTGATGATTGTAAGTACTTCCTTTTTATTATTTCACTATATTATAACATATTTTTAGGTCAAAAAAAAGTCGGTAAAGTTGCCACTCAAGATGTATGGAAAAGTATGTACAATACTTAGGATTAATTCCTCTTTATATATCTACGTATCTGTATTTTAGGTGGATCACGCAATACTATTGGTATGAATATTCTTATTTTCGGAAAAAAAATAGAAGGATATTAATTTTCTTTTGTAGAAAGTGGTGGTAAAAAATTAAATGAAAATAAATTATTAACAGGAAAATCATCTCGGTATGAAACTCATTGATTTATTTATTCAATAAATTCATTAAATTGTCATTTAGATATAGTCCATATACAACGAAATTCAACAAATGTAAAGTTTGTAAAGCAACAATTCATCAACCAGGCAGTACTTATTGTCAAGGTTTGTTATAAATGAAAAAATTGAAAAACTAAATTTTTTTAAAATTATATCTTTTTAGGTTGTGCATATAAAATGGGTATCTGTGCGATGTGTGGTGTAAAAATTTTACAAACAAAAAATTATCGTCAATCAGTTGTTTAAATTTCTCTTCTTTTTGTTGTTTTGCTTAAAAATTCAACTACCACTTTAATAATAAAGATCTTTGTCATTATTTTCAGATAAAAATGTCGGATGAGATAGCAAAAGCTCAATCGGCACACCCTACTGAAGATACAATCTTCGGTAAAATTGCTCGAAAAGAAATGAAAGTTGATTTAATTCATGATGATGATCAAGTTAGTTTATTAGAATAGAAAATAAATCAAATATTTTTTTTTCTCATTTTTAGTGTGTTGCATTTCATGATGTTAATAAACAAGCACCGCATCATTTTTTAGTTATTCCAAAAGAACCAATTACACAATTAGCTACATGTAAACCATCTCATGAACAAGTAAAGTTAGATATTTGG